TCATGAATCTTTCTTATAGATATCAGTTTTCTATATGTGATGAAGTAATTATGTAGTGCTTTTGATTCTTCATACTTCCCAGATATAAGTTTTTTCTTTTTTGGAATTATTTCATTTGCTTTTCCAATTATGACATTTCTGAAAAAATTCCATTTTTCTTCAATATTGTCATTTCCAAAGGTGGTGTTTTCTGCTATAGTCAATTCAATCTGGGATTTGAATTTTTTCCATTTTTTTTCAGATGTTCCCTTGAAGTTAAATTCTATCTTATTTAGAATTTTATCTGAATCTGTTATAGATTTAGTATATTTAAGAACTAATAAATAATCTGTGAACATTTAAATTTTTATTTTCTATAAAAATTTATTTAATAATTTGTGTGCTTTCAAAGTATGCTATATTGTGATTGGATTCACAAATTAATTTGTGTAAACGTGTGTATTGTAAGCTTTATTTTTTACACTGCAAACTTACACTAGGCTGAAGAGGTAAATTTGGTGTGACTTAAAAAATTAAAAATCGCAAAGAAAAAGAATGGGAAACCTGGATGGACATTTTGATTATTGAAGAAACTATTCAAGAGAAAATATTCCATTTTATCAATATTCAGAATTTGAGAATGTGAAATTGATTAGTAGAAATGTCTATTTTAACTTTTAAAAGAACTATTGCTCTTAAATGTGATTCTTTGAGTGACAAATTTACACTGGACAATTTAATAAATGAAGTGAGTTGAATTTAATTTTTTATTCTATAACTTGAATTTCCTGTTAATATTTATTTTTCACTATTTTAAATTGAAAAGATTAAACGATATCGAAAATTGGAAATTCATGAGAACATTCTTAAATTTTATGGCACCACTAAGCAAGGTAAGTATATATGTATATTATGCTTAATATTTAAATACTGTATTATTAATTACTCATTTATTAATTAATTTATTTATTTTTGTTTATTTATTTTTATTTTTATAGAGAATACTAATAATTATATGATTATCTTCGAATACGTTAATGAAGGTTTTCTTCTTCAATATTTGAAAACATTGGATTGGAATGCAAAATTAAATCTCGCACAAAAAATTGCAAATGTTTTGATGTTTTTACATTAGAATGATATTATTCATGGGAAATTTGTAATTATTATTCTTTTTCTTTAGAAAAATAATTTTATAAATGAATTATTTTTTAAATTTTATTCTTTTAAAAAAAATATTTAATTAGAACTCGGAAAATATTCTTATTCATAATGGGATCATTAAATTTAATGTTTTTGGATTAACGAAAATTAATTTTGGGCCAATAGAATGCATGGATCCTCAACATTTGGAACTTTTAAGCATAATTGGTAAAATAAGAATTCTGATATTTATGGTCTAGGAATTGTTCTCTGGGGGATTTCTCTCCTTTCGAAAAATCCTCGTCAAATTTTGATTTGTTAAACAATATTGCAAAAGGTAAAAGAGAAATGCTATACCTGGAACGCCTTCTAAATATCTGTAATCTTATAATGTCAATTAGGAAAATTAAACGAGTAAGCTATATATTTTTTTTTTACATTTATTAAATTATAAATTCTTCTTTATTAAGATTGAATGAAGAACCTTAAATTAAACCTGATCCTCCTTTTGTTAATGTTAAGACTGAAGTTAATGGTTTTATTAATAATCTGTTTGAAATTTTTATTGAACATGCGCAAAAAACAGTTCCGATATTTCGGCTGTTTATAAATTCGATCAAAATTCGGAAATTCTGAATTTTGGTTGAATTCAATACAAAATCTTGATATACCAAATTGTTACCGAAATATTATATTTCAGGAATGGACATTTTGGCAACAATCCAACATATCTAAATATTGTATTAAATTCAGCACTAATTCAGAAATCCCAAATTTTAGTCGAAACTTAACTTAAAGCTGGTTTTAAAATGATTTTTAAATTCGGCCAAAATTTAGAATTTTTGAATTTTATGGCTGAATTTTATTGATATCCGAATTTAGGCCAAATGTTTTGGCAATTAGCCGAACCTTCTGACAGTTTTGACTTCTGAAAACCCAAATGTCCAAATGTCTAAACATGTTTTGACTTTTGTCATTGTCTAAACTTCTGAATTTCGTCAGGCAACTATAATGTCATAGCATTTAAAGATTTTAATCCTTGAATATTTCATCTTTAAAGCAAGAAAAAAAAGAAAGAGAAAAGGGTAAGGATTTAAAAAACAGAAGATAAGAAATATGAAAAAGAAATGGAACAAAAAAAGGAATTCATCTATTGTGAGGTTAATGAAATTACTGAAATCATCATATTAAAAGGAACAGATGAGGATAAATGAGAAAGAAAAGCAGTAGAATATTATGAAATAATAATTGCCAAGAATAAACTCTCAAATATTAGTAATCATGAAACATTCCTTGATCCAGTGAACAATATGAAATTGCTAACGTGTTTTTATTAATAATTGCATGTCATGTCTATAGTAGGAATTAAAAATATTAACATTACTTCATAATTATAAGGGATAATTCCAAAAAAAAATAATTGTGCATTATTTCATTTTTATTTTTCTTTATTGATATCAATAAATCTTTTATTATTTTAATAGAAAAGAACATACATATAAATAACACTTTATTTTTAATTAAATATATTGTTTGTTTATGCTTCAATTATGTAAGTTATATTGATTTTCAGTTTATCTTTGTACAATTTATAAACTGTATGAACACAAATAATTTATAAAGTATCAAAATAATAATGATTTATTTTAAATGATTACATACTAGTCCGATTTAATTTAAATAAAGCTACTTTATAATTCCGGTGATCAAATAAAATAATAAAATATAGAATATATTAAAATAATAAATAAATAATTTTAGAGAAAATACAAAAGTTGTACAATAAAATGACATCAAGGCTAAAAAATAAATTTCCTAAAAAATGAATGTTAATTTTCTAGAATTTTTTTTTTCATTTTCTTCAACTACGCAAATTAAAAGATTGTTAATTTATTTAGACAATTATTAAACAATTACTAAATAAAAAAATCATGTAATATGATATTCACCTATCATCAGGGACTCCAAAATTCCATTGGTTTGTGTCAATATAATGAATGTAAACATTTTATATAAAAATTTTCACTTATTTCTTACTATAAATATAGGTAATTACCATATGTATTGGTTTCAAATTTCTTGGATTTCAGAAAAAGGCAAATATCTACTTGTATATATTGCTTCAGGATGCATTTCATTTGGATCATATTTAATAAAATTTTTGTCTGATTTATTTGCTGCATTAACTTGCTTGTTTACTTGTTTTCTTATTTCATCACCATAAAAAACATATTTTTCAAGTTGAGAACTCGATCCTTCAACAGTTGGGTGATTGAGAAGTCAAAAGTCCAGAATTTATCCATTGTTTCGTTGAGAAATTGAGGAATTTCACACTTAATTTCAGGTTTAAGCCTTTCACAAATGCTCATTGCAAGTTTTTCATTATGTGGAATATTATAATTTGGTGAATAACTAGTTAGAACTTCATACATTACCATACCAAAGGAATAAATATCAGATGTTTGAGTGTATTCTCCCCTACTCAATATTTCAGGTGCCATGTATGGAATTATACCACAAATTTTTTTTCTACATCATTTTCTGTAACTAGTTTGCACAATCAAAATCTGTAATATAATTTAGGGTTAAAGTTTGATTAACTATATTACCAGAATGAAAACCTTTATGCATTAAGCTCTTTTTATAGATATTTTTAAGTACATCTACAATTTTTGGCAAAATATTGTACTTTTTCTTCCAAGTTAATTCTTTAAAATTGCTATTTAACAGTTTTCGAAAACTACCATGTTTTACATAATCCATGACTATCATACATTCATTTTTGTTGAATTTTTAGTAATGCCATTTATTGAAACTGAATTTTTACTTCGAAATTTAAGTTGATTTTCAATCTAAAATATTTATTACCATAAAATATAATTATTATTTATTTAAAATAATGAAATTAAATATTTAAATATTTCTCGCAAAAGATCATTTTTATTTGTAGAATTATCAAGACATTTTAAGCAAACATCTTGTTTACCAGTCCTATTACTAATATAGTGTGCACTAAACTTATACCATTTTTTTTAATACATAGAAATAATAAATCCATCAAACCATTTTGCTTTGCATGTTGTTCCAAAACCCCTTTGGCAAGGAATGTGAAATTCTCAAGTCTATCAAATGGAATCCACTCAATAATTTCTTCACTCAATAATTTCTTGATGTTTATTTGCCGTTGGTTGTATTTGTTGGATAAATTTGTCAATTTCTTTATCTCCACTTGTCCATTTATCAAATTCATTTTGAAAAATAGTCTTGCAATACATCCATTATTGATAATTAATTATATAATATTGAATCAAATTGAAACATTGATTTCAATAATTATGAATCTAAATACTCCTCATTGGAATATAATTTAAATCGATTAGTTTGTAATTGATTAGAGAATTGTTATATGATATTGAATTAAATTGAAACATTGATTTCAATATTAATAAATCTAAATACTCATTAACTATCTATATTGATTAGTTTATAATTGATTAGAGAATTGTCATATGATTATGATATTGAATTAAATTGAAACATTGATTTCATAATTATGAATCTAAATATTCATTTGCTATAATATAATTTATATTGATTAGTTTATAAATGATTAGAGAATTGTTACATGACATTGAATTAAATTGAAACATTGATTTCAATAATTATGAATCTAAATACTCATTAACTATTTATATTGATTAGTTAATAATTGATTGGAGAATGTAATAATAATTGAATTAAATTGAAACATTGTTTCAAAAATTATGAATCTAAATACTCAAACTGAAATTGATTAGTTTATAATTGATTAGGAACATAATTTATGTAAATTATTATTAGTAATAAATTATGGATTTAAATAAAATTTAATGTAAAAATATGCCTACTCTTCTAATTCTTTCATTTCTTCCGTTTTTCTTGTTTCTTTGTCAATTTCTTTTAAAAAAATTTTACATTATCGGATTAAATAAAATCCGTTTTACATGAATTAGCACTACAATAATAATTACGGATTTTTTATAAAAATATTCATACATCATTCATATTTTTAATATATGTATATATGCATTATTTATTATTTTTATTTATTATTTAAAATAATATTTTATTAAGCACATATATGGGATCATCCACTGCAAAAAGGAGTTTCCACTAAATTTTTGAGATTTTGTCAAGTAGTTCAAACCTATGTTACTTTTATGAAAAGGGTTATGGAATTAATAATAATCAAGTGAAAGCATTTGAATGGTATAAAAAAAACTGTATAAATAATGACGCCAATAGCCAATACAGGCTTGGAAGAAGAATATAGAACTAGAAAAGATATTGTGAATGCTGTTTACTGCTTAAATAAAGTATTTATAGCATAATTTCAACACTTTTATCAAAGTAAACTGCCTTTAAGCGACTAATTAAAATTGTTCAGAAGATATTTTATCATTTTAATCTTAATTTTCGCTAAGTTAAATTATAAATGTATCAAAATATGCATGAATCTTTAATTACGTATACTCAATTTTTTTACACTTCTTGAAATTTATAATGAAATTTCAATACTTTTAAACCTTTTAACTAATTATTCAAAGGCAGTTTATTTTGATGAAAGTACTTGAATCTTAATTTTCACTAAGCTGGCTTACAAATGGATTGAAAGATAAATTTTTCTTTAATTATAAGTACTCACGAATTTTTTATACTTCTAGAAATTTATGACGGTATTTTAATACATTGGTCAAAGAAAACTGCCTTTGAACGACTAATTAAAATTGTTCAGAAGGTATGAAATTACTTAATTACAAATAGATTGAAAAATAAATGATTCTTTTTTATTCTTTTGAAATTTAGTTTAGTTTGCAAATTCAAGGCAGTATTTTTCTCAACATTTATGTTATTATGAATTTATTCAGAAATGCATCTACTCAGGTATTGGTTTTTGTTACGTTAATTAAAATGTTTTTTAAATTAAGTAAAATTGAAATACTTAATACAAAGTAAAAATTAAGCTATGTTGGAAAATAAATATTCTTTAAAAGTAAAATTTACATCCCTGTTTTTCGAAGTTTTTACATGTCATTAATAAACATATTTTTTATTTGTTAAATGTGTTTTTTTGAGTTATTGAATGCAATGCATTAAATCTTTGCTATTTTGTAATAATTCTTTATTGTCTAAACAACTATATTCCTAATTACGCGTCGAGTGAATATTTTAATTTCTTTGTTTATTTAGTTTTTATAAATTATTCCTGTACAATTACTTTATCACTAATTAATAAAGCTATGCGTTGCAGATCGCAATAAAGATAATTCATATCAGTTCATTTATAAAAAAAAAGATATCAAGTTATTTAATTATTTTAATGATTACATCTATTAAGAAAAAGGTAGCAAAATCATATTCTTTACAGCATAACTGCCAAATGAAAAGAATTACGTATCATTCCTTCTCTACACTTTTAAAACGTTTAATACCAAAGAAACTCAGAAGCAATCCTATATGATCTTTTGTAGAAATTCGTGCAAAGAGTATTCTTCCAACTTTATTTCTTAGTTTTTCCAGTTTTTTTTGATATCTGTCCACACTCTGTTCGATTTCAATAATCGTGTAAACAGCCTTCTCTTTATCTTCCTCAAATTTTTCAAGAATCTCAAGATTTTCTTCGAACTCTCTACGCTTTACATCACTACGAAAAAATTTCCAAATACCAGATAGAAAAGTTACTTCATGATATTCTTGTCGATCTTTCTGATGCTGGTATTTTTTCTCTTTTGTGACAATTTTAAACATTTCAAACTGAAGGTTTCCCATCTTTTTCAATCTTAATTTAAAAAAAAGTTAGAAAAGTTTAGACAATTAATAGAAAATTAATAGGTAATTAATAAATTAATTTAATGTACCCCGTTTTCGTTTCTACGGCCTTTAAAACTAATTCCTTTAATTGACTATTATATTCTTCAATAATTGCCTCATATGTTTCGTTTAATTCTTTCAGTTGTTTAAGATTTAAAGAATCATCATTCAATTTATCTAGTGCTCTAGCTGTCTCTTGAATATATTCTGAAACACTCTTTATTGTCAAACTTGTAGTGACATCCAAATCTATTATTTTGTCAACTACAAAATAACATTCATCTGCAAAATCGTTCAATCTGTCCATCAACCTATCTTTATTTTCATGCGACAAGTCGGAATATTCTACTACTGTGATAAAGTCTCTGGATCCATTTCAATACTCTTAACACGAAGAGAAAGAGGTTTATCATTTGGTGGATTAAATTCTTTAGCATTTTTCTGAAGATTTTCGAGTAAGTTTTCTTGTTCTTTCTTGAAACTAACAAAATCATATGCGGCTATTTTATCACAAGGTAACAAAAATTGTGATAATGGAAATTGACATAATTCGGAATATATCCCAACAGGAATGTAATTAGAATTAAAGATTCCAAAGAAGAAAACTAGGGAAGAAGCTAGAATTATTATTGATTTCCAATTTTTGGAAAAAAACTCATTCGAAAATGTCAGGAAATCGTCACAGGCGTCAAATATTCGAGATTGAAAATGAGACTGTACACTTTTGATGCAATGGGATGGAGAGGCACTTTGAAATTCGTCGTCCTTACTAAAAGTTACTTGTATTTTGCTATCAGTCGGATTTTGCATTCCGTCGTCGCGCATTTTGCTATGTTAGATGTGTGTCTCGTTCTTGTGTGACGAAAAAAATGGTTTTTTTTTTAAAAAAAAATTCTATTGGATATTCAAAAATTAATGTATCAATTAAGGCTTGTCATAAGAAAATGTCGAAACTTCAACCTCAAAAAAAAATTCGACTTAATTCCGGAGAGTCTGCTAGTCTGATTCTTGCCGATTCTGAAGATAAAACTAATGATTATCAAAAAAATTTGTCCAAGGATGATAAAATTTTCATTAAAAATGAAGATAAATTTGAAAAATTTAAGACAATTCGTGAGCAAGAAGTTGGCTTGACAGAATATGCTGATGCATCTATACCTGGTTTTTCTGCAATTGTCAAACAAAGGCAAGTCTAAATTTATTATTTAGATCGCTCTTTTAGTAATGATCTTATTTAATGAAGTTTCTCCTTTTACAAATTTAAAGATATTCGGATTTTTTGGTTTATGAGATCGATAAATCCGAAAATATTGTTCATCTTACAAATTTCGATATTCCTAAGAAAGTTAATGATTCTGAAGAAAAAAAATCGACTGGAGATGAAACAAATAAAGAAATAATAGAACCAGTATGTGTTTATTTTCTTACTTTTCATGAATTTTATTTTTTAATAAAATTTTATTGACAATATTTTTTTATCAATTTTTATAAGAAATTGACGCAAGATCAAATTTTTCTTGATATGAAATCTTTGCTTGACGAAGAGATAGCTCAAAAAGTACAAAAGCTATTAATCTCCAATGGAAAAGATCCATCATTTGTTGATGTAAAGGTAATAAATTTTGACAAATATATCTTTTTATAATCTTATTGTTAATTAAATTTATTAAATCTAAATTATTATAGCCCGAGGATGATAAAGTGAAACGAAAAGCTATTCATGAATTCTTCAAGAACCATTTTGGTGATAAATTAAATACTGAAACTAAAGAAAAAGCCATTCGGATCAGTATGCATACATTTAAAACTAAAAACGGTAATATTATTTTCATGCCTTCTACGAATTATATTTGTGTACTTTCATATGTATTGAAAAATCATATTTTTTATAGATTCTCGCAATAGAAAAAAAGAAGATTGGGAATCATTGGGTGGACCCTATTGTCAATTTGTTTTATACAAAGAAAAACGTGACACGATGGAAGCCATAAATTTTTTATGCAAGGCTTTAAAGTGTGGTCTATTTGTCTTTATTCGTAATATTTTTTTTGTTTGATTAATTTCTATTTTTTTTCCTAATTTTCTTATTGACATTCATGAATTTTTATTTCATTAGAGTTCATTCTAAAGTACTTTCTTATGCTGGAACTAAAGATCATCGGTCTGTTAGTGTTCAAAAAGTTACAGCTAACAAGATGAAGGCTGAAAAATTAGTAGAACTGAATCCTCGTCTTCGAGACATGAAATTGGGTAATTTTATGTATGTAATTTTAATTTCTCTGCATGGTTTAATATAAAGAAGATTATAGAATCTAATTATTATTTGTATTTTCTTTGGAATCATTTTAGGTATGTCAAGGAAGGATTGAAGCTTGGAGACTTGAAGGGAAATCATTTCATTATTACACTTAGGTATGTAATTCATTTCAAACTGACTTATTTTTGATAATTTATTTTTGATAATTTATTTTTTATAATTTATTTTGATAATTTATTTAATAATAATTTATTTTGATAATTTATTTTATAATTTATTTTGACAATTTATTTTTCGGATGATATTAAATTTCTTTTATTGCGTAGAGATGTAAAAGTTGATTCAGAAGCAACTATTGTTCGAGCTATGAATGTTTTGAAAGACCGTGGATTTATCAATTATTTTGGTATGGTCAAATTATCAAATTATGAGTTGATATATTATGATGAAATTATAAAACCTGTCTAATTTTTTTAATAAAGGTTTGCAGCGATTTGGGACTTCGTCAATTGCAACTTATAATATTGGCCGCGCGTTGTTACAAAATAATTGGGAAGAAGCGGTTGATTTAATTTTAAAACCCAGACCAGGAGGTAAAATAATAATAATAATAATAATAATAATATTGAATGATATTTTAATTTTTTCAATCCAATATCAATTTTTAACTATTTAAAACATAAAGACCGTCCGGATCAACAAAAAGCGAGACAATGCTGGGAAGAAAATCATGATGCGAAAAAGGCATTGGAATTATTTCCAAAGAGATGTATCGCAGAATGCAATATTTTGTCTTCATTTATAAAAAACGGACATAATAAAGATTGTGCTGGGGCGTTTCTCACAGTAATATAATTTCTATTATATTTACTATTCTGTAAATTCTGTAAAAGAATGTCATTTTCACATATTTATTATAAATTTTCATAGTTACCCAGAAATCTTCGACTCATGTATGTTCACGCATACCAATCTTATATCTGGAATAAAATGGTTTCCGAAAGGATAATCCATTTTGGTTGTGATAAGCCAGTTATTGGAGATTTAGTAGTTATTGGTGATTCCGATCAATCTGATCAATCTTATTCAATAGAGGCTGAAGACCTTGATGATGATTCAATTGATGCAGAAGATAAAAAGGTTAGTTCTGTTCTTATCATTATAACGCGTTACAAGAGAATTTCCAAATATTTGATTATTTATTTTATGACGATATAGGAAATTAAAGTAAAAATCCTTATTGAAGAAGATTTGCCCAATTATACGATTCATGACGTAGTGTTACCTTTACCGGGCCATTCTGTTATTTATCCAAATAATTATATATTTCAAAAATATAGAGAATTAATGTGGATAGATCGTTTAGATCCTCGCGCAATGAAGAGAGATATAAAGTGGGTTTTGAGAAATTATAGAAATTGTACAATATATTATATATGTATTTTTAGTCTAAATTTTGAAAATTTGAATTTTCAATTTTCAGGGATTTTTCATTGCCTGGTGATTATCGTAAGATAATGGGAAAGCCTAAACATGTGACATGGTCAGTGTAAATTTTATTTTATTTATTTTAAAAGCTCTAAGATATTTTTACCGCAATTGGATCTTATGAATTTTTGTAATTTTTTTCTATGAATGATATAAACTTTATAAATTATAATTTTTATAAATAATTTATCATTTATTAAATAGGAAATTGTTCAGATATAATGATCCAAATGTGCCTTTATCTTTAACAGATTTAGACATTCTTCAAGGTAACTCAGAACCAGAAAGTATTCCAGGTAAACTAAATATAAATTTTGTTGATGCTTTATTCTTAGAATTTTAATTTTAGAAGATTTAGAAGATGAATTAAATTAAAAATATATTTATTAAAATATCTATTTTTTTTTTTTTAATATTAAATAAATTTTATATATAGATGGTGAATATTTGGCATTACGCATTCATATTTCATTATCAACGAGTCAATATGCTACAATGGCTCTTAGAGAACTATTGAAAAATAGTGCGAGTGCAGAATTTACTACTTCTTCATCTTAATGTATTTATAATATTTTACAATATTTACATAGTAGGTACTATAAATTCAGAATATATATATTTGTTGTTATTTTTTAAGTGGATAGATTTAAGTTATTACCACCATTAAATGTTGTATCCTTCTAGTTTTATTTTCACTAGACTAATTAAAAATTGTGTTATCGAAACAAAATTTACATATTTCGTATACTTATAGAACAATGCAATAGAATATTGGTGATAGTACACAGTATTAATAAATAAAACTTTCAAAATACAATACAATATTATATCAATTATAAATAGTAGACAAAATCTTTTTTTTCTTCGTGGATATTAATTTAATATTCCCATAAATAACTTTAGTTAAGTTATAAATATATATTCTTAATTACGCATCTTATTTATTTATATTGATTTTTATCAAACTATTTTTTGTATCTGCTAAATAAGATTCCTATGCAATTACTTTATCACTAATTAAATAGAGCTATACATTTTAAAATGAATTATATACTCTTAATAATCAAATGAAGATAATTCACATATCATTTCTTAAAAAAAGACACCAAATTATTTAATGATTCACTAACTTGTTAAGAATAAAGTATCTACAAAATACAACCATAAAATATTCTTTACAACGCAATAACTATCCCTTCTCTATATTTTTAAAACTTCTAGCAATCCTATATGATCTTCCGTAGAAATTTGAGTAAAGAGTATTTTTCCAACTTCCTTTCTTAGTATTTCGAGTTTCTTTGATATTTTTCCACACTTTGTTCGATTTCATTAATCGTGTCAACTGCCCTCACTTTCTCCTTTTCAAAATTATTCAGAATCGCAAGATTTTTTTCGAGTTCCCTTCCCTTTACATCATTCCCTAATAACTTCAAAATAATAGTTAAAAAAGACGATTCATGATCATCTTGCTGGTTTTACTGATGTTTTTTCTCCTTTGTGACGATTTTAAACACATCGGACTGAAGTCTTCCCATAATTTTCAATCGTATTTTAGAAAAAATGTTAGCAAGTGTTTAGACAATTAATAAATAATTAATAAATTAATTTAATGCACCCTTTTTTCGTTTTCGCAGCCTTTGAACCTAATTCCTTTAATTGACTATTACATTCTCTCATAATTTCCTCATATGTTTCGTTCAAATTTTTTAATTGTTCAAGATTCAAAGATGCATCATTCAATTTTCTAGTGCCCTAAATGTCTCTTCAATATATTCATAAACACTCTTTATTGTTAAACTTGTAGTGAAATCCAAATCTATTATTTTATTAACAACCTTATAACTTTCATCTGCAAATCTGTTCAGTCTGTCCATCAACTTTTTTTATTAACATCTGATAAGTCATGATATATTACTTCCGCGTTAAAGACTCTATATACCATTTCAACATCTTTGACACGAAGTGCTAGTGATTTATCATTTGGAGTTCAATTCTTTAGCATTTTCCTGTAAATTTTGAGTAAACTTTTTTTTACTTTCTTGAGACCAACAAAATCATATGTAATTATTTTGATCACAAGGTAACAAAAAGTTTGATAATGGAAATTGACATAATTCGGAATATATGCCAACAGGAACGTTGTTTGAATCAAAGTGTCCATAGACGAAAGCTAGGGAAGAAGCTAGTATTATTAATTTCCAATTTTTGGCAAAAAACTCTACATTCGGAAATAAGATTATACATCAAAAATTTTAGAAAATTGTAAAAAATTCGAAAAAAAAAAATGAAAAAAAAAAAAATAAAAAATTTATTATTTTCAAATAATAATATTCTCCTTTGTAACATTACGAGAACCACCTTTCAAGTTGTAATGACAGTCATAATCACCCTCCTTATTTGCATTATGCCCTTCTTTGTACTAGGGAAAATACAAAAATTCTATTGGGCATTCAAAAATTATATCTGGTTCCTCTTAAGAAAAATGTCTATGAAAAAAATTTAGGATTAAGAAAGCTTTTTTCTAAATAGGAATGATATTCCAAAAAAAGTTAGTTACATTTTTTCATTGATTTTTTACTAAAAATCATTGCTTGATAGATAAAAGTTATTAGATTCTACTGGAAAATATCCCATCAATGTATTTGTTAATTTTTACCTTATTAGTATTAATTAAATAAAAATAAAATTAATCTAAGTATAAAAATACAATATCAGAAATTTAATATTGTTCAGTGAAGAACCTCTAATTTGGTCAAAATGATTATCTAATTTTGAAATTTGGTTATGCAATAGTAAAGGCACGTGATTTATCTATTAAAATACGTAATACAATGTAAAATTTCGATATTTCCGAACTTTGATTTTCTACCCTATAAAATTCTAGTATTTTGTTATTGTTTTGGACAAATTTATAAATAAATACTTTGATAATTACCATATTAGACTAGGCAGGAGAAGTATAAGCAGTTTCATAGCATTTTCAAGTGGTTATATAGTTACGCAGAACAATTTATTTGTTGTGATACAGTGCATATATAAATCAGCATAACATAGTAATTATTATAATAATCATGTCTCAAGAAAAGACAAACGAAAAAGAATTGGAGATCTGGATGGATTTTAAAGAAATTATTCAAAAAGAAAATATCACATTTTATCAATACTCGGAATTTGAGAATGTGAAGTTGATTAGTGGAAATGTTTATAAAGCTGATTATAAAATTTCTCAAAAAACTATTGCTCTTAAATGTGTTTCTTTGAATGATAAATTTACACTGGATAATTTAATAAATGAAGTAAGTTGAATCAAATTATTTTTTTCTATTATTTGAAGTTTTTTTTATTAATATTACTCTATTTTTTAAATTGATAAAGATTAAAAGGCGTCGAAAATTGGAAATTCATGATAGCATTCTCAAGTTATATGGTATTACTAAGCAAGGTAAATATAAGATATTAAAATTTCTATATTTAACATACTTAAAAAGAATAAATATTTCACATTTATTAATTTGATTTTTATAGAGAATACCAACAATTATATGATTATCTTCGAATATGCTAATAATGGATCTCTTCGTCAATATTTGAAATCCAATTTCCAAAAATTGGATTGGAATGCAAAATTAAATCTTGCGAAACAAATTGCAATGTGCTTACATTCTAATGGTATCATTCAAGGAATTTTGGTAATTATTTTCTTGTTTAAAAAAAAAAATAAATTTTTTCTCTGAATTACTTTTAATTTATTTATTTTTCTAATTATTTAATTAGAACTCAGAAAATATTCTTATTCATAATGGGAACATTAAATTAAATGTATTTGAAATAACTAGATGTATCCCTGAATCTTTAAGATTTCTTGCAAATACTCATGGCCCAATACAATCTATGGATGTTCAATATTTGGAACTATTCAGCACAATTAGCAAAATTAAAAGTTCTAATATTTTTGGTCTAGGAATTATTCTCTGGGAGATTTCTAGTGGTAATCTTCCTTTTGAAATGGAATCATTAAATCTTGATTTATTAAACAACATTGTGAAAGGAAAAAGAGAAATGGTCATACCCGGAACACCTCCTAAATATAAGGAAATATATACAGGTGCGAGTTTATCAAAGATCGATTTTTTTTTGTAATAAATTAATAATTATTATATGCTATATCTAACAGATTGCTGGAAATACAATGGAAATTTACGACCAGACGTTTCTCAAGTTGTTAAAAATCTTTCTAAAATCATCATCTCTGATGCAAATGTTGAACGTGAAACTCCTCAATCACAAGCCATCAATAAAGTTATTTCTAATAATTCGGAAAAATCAAGCATGTAATTTTCGTTTCTTTTTTTTCCCATTTTTTTTTATAATTTTAAATCTCAGAACGGTTATTAAATTATAAAATTCTCCTTTCTTAAGTCAAAATGAAGAATCTGAAATTAAACTTGATCCTCCTGAAGTTAATGTGTTTATTAAGGATTTATTTGATTTTCTCATTGATTTGTTCAATAAACTGCCTCGAGAGATTCGACCAATTATTATCAAAAATTTTATTACAGAACACAATAAGAATCCAGTTAAAATTTTTCATGAAATGATTAGTTGTATTAATTATCCATCAAATTATTGGTTTACTAGTTTAATAGGAGTTTTTTACCAGTGTGGCATTGGGACTGTTACGGACAACCAAATGGCATTTAAATTTTTTAGTTTAGCAGCCAATGAAATAATTGATTTCTCTAATTTATCACCCTTAAGGAAACTATATGAAATTAACAAAGAAATTGGAACAATCTATCTTGCAAATATGTATTTAGATGGATTAAGTGTTAAAAGGGATACCAAAAAAGCTTTTCAGGAATTTTCTAAACTTGCTGATAAAGGATCTCTAAAAGCTTTGAATTCCGTAGCATTTTGTTATGGAAATGGGTTTGGTGTTAAAAAAGATAAAGAAAAAGCTTTTGAATTATATTTTAAATCTGCAGAAAAAGGCTATTTGGTAGCCCAGTCTAATGTTGGTTTTTGTTATGAAAATGGAATGGGAATAACAAAAGATGAAATCAAAGCATTTCAATGGAATACAAAATCTGCTCTTGCTGGAAATATTGATGCAATGTATAATGTCGGATATTTTTATGACAATGGTATAGGTGTAGGTAAAGATGAAAAAGAAGCATTTAAATGGTTTTTGATGGCTGCCGAAAAAGGATATTCGATAGCTCAAACCTATTTAGGTTACTTTTATGAAAAGGGTTATGGAATTAATAAGGATGAAGTGAAAGCATTTGAATGGTATAAAAAAGCTGCAAAAAATGATGACACTGATAGCCAATACAGTCTTGGAAAATGCTTTTATGAAGGATGTGGAACTAAGAAAGATATTGTAAAAGCTATCTATTGGTTAAATAAAGCAAAGGAAAATGGAAATAGATATGCAGAACAATTACTTGAAGTAATGATTTATTCAATAATCCATTAGTTAAAAATCAAGATATGTCATTATTTCTATTTGTTAAATTTATTTTTGTCAGTTAAAATTTCATGTCTAAAAAGTATTT